ATGTCTTTAATACCTTGGACAAATGAAACCATTATTTGATAGCTATTCATTTTTAAATTCAATGATTTCAGGGAATAATTTCCCCAAATGGGTAGTAGTTAAGACTTATAGACAGACCTGGCCAAAATATAACAAAATAAACTTGAAAAATGGATCTGGCCACTGTCAATAGAAAGAAAACTTTACATAATCATATTGTCATTGTTAAAATTCATCCATTTCAATGATACATTGGTATTGTCATTGGCAAAAATCATATTATTTCATATTTGTGAAATAATACATTGAGGGAATCTTTTTATAATGATAGATTACAGTTCAGGTTTACGTATGCCTAATCAAATTGCATGTTTTTATAAATCAGTACTCTATATGACAGAAACTGAGGTTTTCAATGGATTTTGGGTAAATCAGTAAAATAAATAGTCAATGAAAATTATTGGTAGACTTCATCCAATTTCAAAAAAATCATAGAATAACAAGACTTCCTATTACACTATATATGTGCATTTCAATCGAGGCTAAAAAGATCTAAACCAACAAACCCATCAAACGAACACAGAACCGATTGAATGAACGGTGCCGTGCAGATTGCAAGTGGCCATCCTCTGGTGGGTCTGACGGTTGTTAACTATGGCCTTTTAACAGATGTAATCCTCTTCCCTTAACTGTCCAGATCTGAAAGCACACATATAACAAAGCATGAATCGGGTTGATCTTAACTATACACAAATATTACCAGGGCATAAGAAGAAAAATACTCATCTTTTTTTTAAAGACACTTGAGAGGCTGAGCATGTTTTTAGCTTAATTATGCACAGGGGCGTTCGAAGATTGAGGTTCACTTCAGAATTCAGAATACAAACGAATCAATAAGTGGCATAGATAATGTTTAAGAGAACGTCGTATTTGGGCAAAATGCATCGGTACTTACCCATGAAATATTGAAGGATCTGTTGTTCGTGGAGATCGGTCGTCGGTGCGAAGGACCCGTTCTTCGTGGAGATCGGCCGCCGGTGCTTCAGTGATGCGAGATGGAGAAGCTATAGACGAGAGATGTTGGAGGCGGCGTAAAGTAGAAGGCCAAACCCTACCGCGTAGGAGTATATACGGGCGACCAAATGTCGGACCCGGTTATGTTTGTGTGATGGGCTAATTTTGAATGGGTTAGAAATATTTGTGTTGGACTCTGTAATAAATTAGGAGCCCGTTTGGTAGTACGAAAATCGGCTGATTTAGTAATTCTACTAAAATTTATGAAGTTGTGGCTGAATTGGCTGCATTGGCTAATTTTGATGATTTAACGAAAACAAATTGAAATGTAAGATATGAATAAAATTTAGAAAAATATATGAAAAAATAGCTAAAATAATCATCTACAGTAAGTTCAGGCAATACAGTCAGAAAAGTACCTTCAACCTTATGTTTACTGTTTATTACACAATTCATCGCGTGAAAGCAAAAGTTACATGTTTGGTAAAAATTTTGGTTGATAAGCCTGATAAGCCAACAAACAGTGCTAACAAATGACCTCTAGAATTCAAATGGGCGACAAAATTGGGATTATCCTACCAAAATATTTGGATATTTCCAAATTATTTTTCTAAAGTTGTAAAAAAATCATTTTTCAACAATGTATTATTTTACCGAATTCATTTTATTAGTTTATATTAAAATTATGCGGATCAAATTTCATTATTGATGTTTTACTAATTATAAATTTTCATTTAAGACATTAGAAGACTGTGCATCGGCATCATAAGAAAGAGGTGCTTAGAATAATGTAGTCAAAATATGTTATCCACTTTTATTTAAAAAATTAATTGTGGCTCATGAAATTACCCACTCAAATATATACACACATAATTGTGTGGATGTGTGCATTGTGCAGTTTACGTAATATTTTTTTGGAAATGACAAATTTCAATAATATTATTATATGATTTATAGTTTTTTAAAGTAAAAAATTAATATGTGTTATTTTCGATCAATACGATAGTGATACATTTCTTACTAATGTGGTCAACCATACTTTTTTCACGCAGGGGATAGTGACAACGAGCGTGACGTAAATCGAAGGGTTTTGCAAAACGCTCGATTTCAACAATCTCTTCGGAACAGTACTACAGCATCTATAAAGCCTATAACTTCTGCTACTTTCCCTTTGGTGGATGTAACTAATGGTAAATTTATCAAGATGCTTTCGGCTTACTATCTTACACCAATTATTAAACTAATTATACTTTTTGATTATTTTATTAACCAATATTGTGTAACAATAATGTAGTCTTGGTGAGGAGCGCTCAACCACCAGCGTCAATTGTACTCTCCAAACCAACACCTATTATGAGGCCAAATCTGATTCAAGAGAGATCATGTGATCTACCATCTACGTCGGTTTCATCCAATCACCCAGACAATATATTGCACGACACTAATGTTGCTTCTTGCAGTTATTTCACGCAAGATTTGGATATCGATGATGTGGACGTAGACGATGCATATGTGGATTATGAAGATCTAAAGAGTATTAACAATGAATCGTCTATTGGTTGGTTTTCTATAAAATTTAAATTTTAAATTAAAGTTTTGAAATTATATGTGCTTTTAAAATTTCAGAGTTTATTATTTAAATTTATTTATTTCTTTATTCATTATTAATTTATTTATATAACTTAAATTGTGTTGAGATTGGTCATCGTATTTCAGAGTTATGGGATATTGGTGATCCAAATTGCGTCTGCCCATTTTGTGAGGCACTTTTTTGGTACGAAGAGAGGATTGAATCGAGTTCTACAAAAATGAACCCGAAGTATTCTCTGTGTTGCTCACAGAATAAGGTACAACTTCCCGTCAACAAAGAACCACCGTTGTTGCTGCAAAGGTTGATGGATGGAACAGATGCTAGAAGCAAGCACTTTTTAGAAAATATCAGATCTTACAATAGCATGTTTGCATTCACATCAATGGGTGGTCGGATTGAAACGGCGATAAACAAAGGAAGGTCTCCCCCAATTTTTAAACTTCACGGTCAAAATTACCACCTTATTGGAAGTTTAATGCCCACAGTTGGATCGACACCGAAATTCGCACAGTTGTATATCTACGATACAGAAAATGAGATACAAAATCGGATCAAATCTGTTAGGTAACTTTTGTGCAACAATTTTAATTTCTTATTCTGTTTGGTTTATGAAGATGTCTAAATTTATCATCGAAGATTGATTTGATTTGTTCAGGGGAGCTGCTGATACTGACCAATTACATGTTGAAATTGTTGAGGACTTAAGAAACATGTTGAATGAGCACAATGTTTTGGTCAAATCATTTAGAATGGCTAGGGAAACGATTCATCGAGGTGAGAGTTGTGACGTGAGGCTAAGGTTGATAGGTAAACGAAGCAGCGATGCAAGAACGTATAACCTACCAACTGTATCAGAGGTTGCTGCTTTAGTTGTTGGGGATTTTGATGAGTCTATGGGAGAGAGAGATATTGTGGTGGAGACCCAGAGCGGAAAGCTACAACGCATTAATGAACTTAATCCAGCATATTTTGGCTTGCAGTATCCTTTGTTATTTCCATTTGGTGAGGATGGTTACCGAGAAGATATTGCACTTTCAGGTTCTAAAGTTGTCATTGGCTCGGGAAGACGTAATGTTAGTATAAGGGAGTTTTTGGCTTATCATTTGCAAGAGAGGGAATACAGATATTCCATTACTTTGAAGGCTAGAAGACTTTTCCAACAATTTGTCGTTGATGGCTACACTTTGATAGAGTCTGCAAGATTGAAGTACATTAGAACACATCAAAAGCAACTTCGTTGTGAAATGTACAAGGGCTTGAGTGACGCTGTTTTACGCGGGGAGAGTGATCCTGCGACTCAAGGAAAACGAATTGTGTTGCCCCCAACCTTCACTGGTGGTGCAAGATACATGATACAAAACTACCAAGATGCAATGGCTATTTGTAGATGGGCGGGGTATCCAGATTTATTCATCACGCTGACATGCAACCCAAAGTGGCCTGAGATTGTACGTTTTTTGCATGGTAGGAATCTTAAGTCTGAAGATCGCCCAGATATCATATGTCGAGTATTTAAGATAAAGTTGGATGGTCTTTTGAAAGACTTGCGACGTAATAGGGTGTTTGGTAGTGTTAAAGCAGGTACATTTCAAACTGAACATACCTCGGTTTTAACCATTATTAAATGTCAGAGTAATTTTTAAAATTATCTTTTGCAGTGGTGTACACTGTGGAATTTCAGAAGCGAGGATTGCCCCATGCACATATACTATTGTGGCTAGCAAATGAGGATAAATTGCCAACTTCAGCAGACATTGATAAGGTTATCTCAGCTGAAATTCCCGATAAAGACAAGGACCCACGATATTACAATGCAGTTCGTGATTTTATGATGCACGGACCGTGTGGTCCATATGTTAAGTCTGCTCCATGTATGTCTGCTGGGAAGTGTACGAAACATTTCCCTAAGAGTTGGTGCAATGTTACGTCTATTGACGGTGATGGATATCCGGTTTATAGACGAAGAGACGATGGTAGGACCATTGAGAAAAATAATATTCCTCTTGACAATAGATTTGTGGTTCCGCACAATCGTTTTTTGTTGATGAAATATGGCGGTCATATCAATGTGGAGTGGTGCAACCAATCCCGGTCCATCAAGTACTTATTTAAGTACATCAATAAAGGACGTGATCGTGTCACTGCAGGTTTTTTTAATAGTGTAGGTGCAGATGAAGGGAGCAAACCTGTGGATGAAATCAAAATGTATTACGACTGTAGGTACATATCTCCATGTGAGGCTGCATGGCGTATATTGGGATTTGAGATTCAATATAAAAATCCTCCAGTTGAACGCCTTAGTTTTCACTTGAAAGGAGAGCAAACTGTGATCTTCTCAGACAATGAGCCTCTTGATTCTGTAATTGCTGGCAGGAGTGTTAAAGATAGCATGTTTTTGGGGTGGATGGAAGCTAACAAAAAATACGAGATGGCGAGACAAATGACATATGCTGAATTTCCTCAGAAATTTGTATGGAAAAAGGGTACAAGGGAATGGGTTCCAAGAAAGAAAGCATTTTCTATTGGTCGGATATACTATGTTCCACCAGGATGTGGGGAGTCTTATTATATGAGGTGTTTATTGAACCATATTCGAGGAGTGACGTGTCATGAAGATTTGAGGACTATAGGCAGTGTGTTATATAATTCATACCGTGAAACTTGCTATGCTTTGGGGCTTTTGGACGACGATAAAGAATTTGTTGATGGTTTTACTGAGGCAAGTGATTTTGCAACGGCATTTGCACTAAGGATACTTTTCGTCATATTGTTGTGGTCAGAATCCATGAGTCGGCCAGAATTTGTTTGGGAGAAGTGTTGGATATACATGGCAGAAGATATTCAATACAAATTGCGTAAAAAGTATCAACATCCAGGTATATTAATACAACTATTTTGTTATCTATCATTAACACATTAAACCATTGGTTCGTGCTAATTTGTTCTCTGCAGTTATTTGATTAGTGGTTGAAATGACATTCCATCTTTTCATGTCATACAGGGTTTGTAATGGACAATGATCAATTGCAAATGGCGGCATTAACAGAGGTAGAGATGTTATTGCAACGACGAGGAAAGAGTTTACGTGATTTCCCTCCAATGCCGTATCCAAAGTCAGACTCAACTTACCTTTCCAATAATAGATTTGTTGAGGAGGAACTCCAATATGATCGGCAAGCGATGCATCAAGAACATAATACCTTGCTTCAAGGTCTAACAGATGAACAACGTGTTGTTTATGAAAAGATCATGCATTCTGTTGAAACGGAATGTGGAGGGATGTATTTTGTTTATGGATATGGTGGAACTGGGAAAACGTTTGTGTGGAGAACTATATCCGCTGCATTGAGGTCCAAAGGGGACATTGTATTAAATGTGGCATCAAGTGGCATTGCTTCTCTACTACTACCCGGAGGGAGAACCGCGCACTCGCGTTTTGCAATTCCGATCAGTTTGAATGAAGATTCAACTTGCAATATAAAGCAGGGTAGTCCTTTAGCAATACTAATCAGTAAGTGTAAATTAATCATTTGGGATGAAGCTCCAATGCTCCACAAATTCTGTTTTGAGGCATTGGATAGAAGCATGCGTGATGTGCTTAGATTCACCAACCCAAATAGCCTAAACTTACCATTTGGTGGTAAGACAATTGTTTTGGGGGGAGACTTTCGACAAGTGCTACCGGTGATCCCACAAGGCAGTAGACAAGACGTTGTTAATGCAACAATTAATTCATCTTATCTATGGGGGGAATGTACTGTTCTTAGATTAACTAAGAACATGAGGCTCCAAAATGTCAGCAGTCCTGCAGAATCCTATGATTTGAAGGCTTTTGCCGATTGGATTACAAGCATAGGTGATGGATTAGCTGGGGATTTAAACGATGGTTGTGTCTCTATTAAAATACCCGATGACATCCTTATCAAATACACCGGAGATCCAATTGCTAAGATAGTGGAGGTCATTTATCCCGATTATCTGAAATCAAGTACATATTTGAGTTACTTGAGAGACAGAGCTATTCTTGCTCCAACCCTTGATGTCGTTGATTCTATCAACGACTACATGACAAGTTTGAATTCCAAGGAAGTTGCTAGAACATATCTGAGTTCAGATAGTGTTTGCAAATCTGATTCAACACATGATCTTATAGCAGAGTTGCACACTACAGAATTCTTGAATAGTATTAAACTCTCTGGTGTGCCAAATCATAAGTTAACTTTGAAAGTAGGTACCCCGGTCATGCTTTTGCGTAATATTGATCACTCATTGGGTTTGTGTAATGGAACAAGACTCATCATAACAAAGATGTGTGATCACATCTTAGAGGGAAGGGTCCTCAATGGTATTAGTGCAGGACAAAATTAAAAGTCTTAATACCGCGATTATCTTTGACACCGTCAGATGTTAGGCTACCATTTAGATTTCAAAGGAGGCAATTCCCTATTATAACTGCTTATGCAATGACCATCAATAAAAGTCAAGGCCAGTCACTCACTCACGTCGGTCTCTTACTAAAAAAACCAGTTTCCAGCCATGGTCAATTGTATGTTGCCGTCTCAAGAGTTACCAATCGTGCAGGTCTCAAAATCCTCATCCAAAACGAAGATGATTGTCCAATGAATGAAACCATGAATGTTGTCTATAAAGAAGTGTTCCATAATCTCTAATATTTCATATTGTATTAAAATCACATTAGATGTTACAATAGATTACATATTACAGTTTCATTTGTTAATCGTCACAATTTAAGATATTTAAATTTATTTCCAATTAGACTTTAAAATCTAACACTAATAATATCCATCCAACAAACTCCTGCACCGTGCATCGCACGGGTGCTGTACTAGTTCAATTAAAAAGAAACATCCCAACCTAATCTCTCGAGAATAAATCCACTTAGGCAAAAGAAATTCCACATTGGCAAACCTCCTAAAATCAGAAGTGAGATTCGTTTACCCTCCTGGGAAACATCTCCCTCATCTCACGTTAAACTTGTTCCTTTACCTCCGGTTTGCTGGGTTTGAAAAAACCTACCTTGCAGGGCGGCAATGAATGAAGCAGCGGCGACAGTCGACTATATCTCAGGACGACGTCAAATTTCACGTAGTGGAAGCTCAACCTTAGGGATTGGACGATTAGGAGGTTCAAGTGCAAATATAAAGTGGTGTTACCACAAGCTCCCCGCTAACCTTGAAATTACATAGAAAGAAGGAAAGAATCATGGTTGAATATTTCACTGGTGTTCTCAATGGAAGGTATGAGTGAAAATGCATTTAATATTTATTATTTGTTTTTATTTACCTATTCTATATGTTGAATTTTACAGGTCAACTATTGTCGCTATTTTGAGTGGTTTGACAAATAGGAATAGTGTCCTCTTGCTATAGAGATTATCAATGGTTTGGCAGTGAACAAAAACTTATGACACTGTGGACAATTGTCAAATGGAGAAATCTGGGATGATGAATGCTCAAGTGATATGTGGCTGAAATGGAAAGAGAAAGAAATGATTGAGATGAACATGACAAAAGTCAAAGAAAAATAGAAGGCAATGAAGGCTGCACTGCTGGAATTGCAATCTGAGTTGGAGAAGAGAAAAGGAACTTAAGTATCAATGATAGAGATTGAAAGTGTAGTAGCTAGATTTGTAGTTGTTGGGTTTGTTTTAGTTGGTTTGTTTGTGTTAATTGCCTCAATTATTGTAAGTAAATTGTATTAATCAGTTAGTTTATGATGTGATTTTTAAAGGGGTGATCCCCGAATGAGTTTAGAAGCATTGGTTCGTAGTGAGTAGACTTGTTTGTTGATCTTTTTGTGTTAATAAAGTGTATGAGATAGTCATTATTTGAAAAGTTTATTTATCATTGTTACATATTGGTTGCAGGTAATATTTTTATATTAGTTATGCATTAAAGTGTTACATGTCATTGTTATATATTAGTGACAGGTAAATGTTGTGAAATGTTAGCAGCCAAGGGTCTTCACATTTGTTAAAATGCAAAGTCTTTATGTTCTGGAATAGTGGAATATGGTAGTATGCACCTGCACATTGGGGAAGTAAAGAGTAAACTCCATTGGTTCTGATTTTGGAAAATGCTAAGATGAATGTAAAGCATTGGTTTCGAAATACAAGTGTTAAAACTGGTTTTAATTTGCCATGTAAAACCTGTTAAATCTGGTTTAAAATCTGCCAAGGGTCTCACATTTGGTTAACAACAAAGTAAAGGGCATTTGTGAAGAAGTGTTCAACAAAAATCTGTCATCCAGGGATCTCATAATTGCTCTTTGGCATAAAAAATTGGCATCTTGGTCCTATTATACATATTTGGTCTTAGTTTTGCAAACAGTAACACATAAATAAACATGAACTGTATACTGTGAATAACATCAGAGTTCACCACATAGTTTGTCTTTCCATAGAAGAAGATGACCTTTACAAAAGATGGCTAATATAGTTGAACAAAAAACACCTATGACCTGTCTCCACTGGTGTAAAAAAGATCTAGCATTAGTTTGCAAAAAAGGACCTAACATTGGCCTCCACAAAAAAAAAACTAACACTGCTCTACAAAAACAATGCCAATACACTGGCTTGCACAAAAACTTCAGCTAATAGTCATCTTCATAAAGCAAAACCACACAGGACGACATCTACAAAATCAGATTTCAGTTTGATGCGAAGTTGTGGGAGCAGAAGATGACTGAGACAGAATATTAGCTCCCCTTTGTCCTGGCTGCAATAAGTAGCATTAACTAAATTAAGATTTAGCTAACATTATGAAATAATACTATACAAATTACTATTGCATAAGTGTGTATAACTAACATTTAAGTAAACTCTTGCATCTTACCATCGGGGACACCTGGTGTAGAACTTGTAGTCTTTAGTGGTCTTCCTCTAGGTCTTTTTGGTTGATTAGGATCACTAGATTTTCTTGGTGGTCCGCCCTCCTTCCTTGGTCTTCCTCTTGCTTTTGCCTACACATAAATATATAGTGAGTAAAAAGAACTACAACTAACTGTCTCTAGCAGTTTAAAATTTAGTGCCACCACAAACTGAATGCCACCACTACTCACTGAAGGCTTTTGCAGTGTAGTATGGGATATGTTACCCTTTTGAGGACACCTTCTTTTGTTATGGTCATTCCCGTTGCATATTGTACAACTCATTTGTATGCCATGTTTACTTAATTTTCCTTTCTTATCAAACCTTTCATGTGCCTCTTTTCTCCTATTTTTCTTCGGCCGGCCTGCACCTATCTTTATTGGTGGAGGATTTAAAACATATTCTATCTTCTCCCAATGTCTTTCACCATTTATTGGTTTTAATGAATAACTATAGCTTTGGAGGTACTTCTCTTTCTTAAACCAGTCAAGGACAAAGTTTTCAGGAGGGATCCGTAACCAGTTGCAACAAGAGATGACATGTGGACATGGAATACCGGTTAAATCCCACTTCCGGCATGTACACGTCCTCTCATTCAGATTCACACAAAACATGTCTAAACGATGCATAACTTGAAACTCAAATTCACTGGCAGCCAAACAAATGCATTTTCTTGCTTTTTCCTTTTCCATCTCTAGGCATTTCCTCACTCTAGGACAGATATCATCGTGTCTAGAGATCATAATAGATCTATTCTGATGTATCCTTTGCATAACCTGCAACCTTATTTCTTCAAGCATGTGTATAAGCGGTTTGGATCTTGCTTCAATAATATATCCATTAAATGTCTCTGCCATATTACTCACAATCACATCACTTTTGCTCACAGTTTGCATATAGGATCTACAAAATGTGGTCGGATTCTGGGAAATGAAGTCCTCAACAGCCTTAGCACTAACACCTTTCATTTCCTCAAGTGCACTGTCAAAGTCAGCTCTAGCATATGCTCTAACAGCCTTCCAATACAAGCTCCTGAGTTGCTCCCCCTTATGCTTCTTCAACCAATTTGCAAATATATGCCTAGCACAATTCCTATGCTCTGCGGATGGAAAGTGCTCTCTAACAGCATTACAAAGCCCTTTCTGTTTATCAGAACAAATTGTAGAGTTCTCATTACCAAATCCGGGCAAATCACGTTTTAAAATATCCAAGAACCAACTCCAAGAATCATTGTTTTCAGCCTCCACCACTGCCCAAGAAACCGGGTACATTTGATTGTTTCCGTCTCTTCCCACAGCACATAGCAACATCCCACCCAAAAATGTCTTTAGGAAGCATCCATCTAAACATAGCACAAATCTGCATCCAGTTACAAACCCGTCTCTCAATCCCGGAAAGCTAACATAAAGTCTCTTAAATATATCTGGTTCTCTAGGAATATCGGGCTTATCAATGACGAGTACTGAAGTGAAAGTAGGGTCAACTCTCTTCATCTCCCCCAAGTATGAAGCAAGTTTACTATAGTGTTCTTTTAAAGTCCCATGTAACATCTCGTGAGCTCGTTTCCTCACATTATAGCAAGCAAATCTCTGAATACGCACACCAAATCTCTCCATCACCGATTGTTGTAGAGATTTCCTAGGCCAATTAGGATTTTTTCTATACTCCTCCATATACTCTTCAGCTAACCAAGTAGGCTTAGCTTGTATATTCTCATAATCTTGCCTATTGCACGTGTGGTTAGGATTCAAAGACTTCACAACAAATGACTCTTTAAGTCCATCCCAAGAAGCGTATATTCTCCAAACACAACCCTCCTTACATTTGGCTGCGACTTTCACCTTTTCACTTTTACTAGGCCTAATGCTATACCCTGCAATCACAGCATACCTCACTAGTTGTTTTTTGAAAATTTCAGGTGAACAAAACTTCATGCCCACTTTCCATACTAACATTTTGAGTGTAGCATCATTATCAACTTTGTATATAACACTCTCCTTCTTCACACTGCTCTCACCTTCTTCATCACTTCCAGTTGGTGTCAGAAAATAATTTTCAGAATTATCACTATCATAAAATGGCTCAAATCCATTGAATTGATTTTCAACAACTATATTCAAATTGTAACAACTTAGCTTTTTTCTACTACCAATCCATTCCTCGTCACTGGAAGAACCACCACTATTAATATCCTCTCTTTGAAAATTTTCGGACTCATTCTCTTCAGCCCCTTCTACTTCTTCAATAAAATGGCTCACTTCCATGTTACACCACAATTATAACTCAAATCTATCAACCACAAGTTTAAAAGTAATCACAGTAGATCAGCTTACTTTCAAATGCGACTGTCAGGTAGCAAACTTGTTCTTTTAGCTCGCTTTGTCATCGTCTTCTCTATCGTCTGCGAGCTAAAAAGTGGCGTTCTTTTGGGAAAATAGGTTTTGAAGTTTCTGTCCAGCCTTTCCCTAATTAGGAGCGTGGCTCTTAATATTTTTCCCCAAATAGAAAAGTTATGGCTTATGTGGAATAAAAATTCCAGCTAGATGTTTCTTTTCCTGATAAACATGACATCGGGTAGGACTATCTCAACTTAAACATTGTGGGGGTATTAATTTGACATGGACAAGTATAGGGTGGGCACCTCACACTTATGATAAGTTGGGGGTATTTTATTTATTTTCTCCTACTATAAAATATGTATACTATGCCTTATGAAAATTTAGGAGTTTCCTCCATTTGGCACAAGATAGACTTCAAGAATTAATTATAAAAATAGTTGAAACAAGAGGATATTTCATACTTGATATTTCATCTAGGAGAAAAAAGAATAAAACAGGCCAACTGTTTTGATATCCAATTGATAATTACAAATAAAAAAAGTCAAACATTAAACATATTTCATGATATAACTGAAAAAAAAGTCTAATTCCCATTAAACATAAAAGCACATAACAAAAAACTTCTAAGATATGAACAAAGAAAGGTGTATGTCATAGTATAGCACATTTTCTACTCTCATACTTAGAAACTCCTCCTTATTCTCATTTGTGCTGCTAGAATCTGATATTCCAGTAATAACATGCATGTCTGAGAACTCATTAAGAAGACAGTCCAGTATATTCTGAACTCTTTTAACACCATATTCATCCCCATTGCATCTCCCGTGATGCAGCTAAATCTAATGTAAAAATTTTCCCCCACAATATAGCACTTAATGGTTTGAAGTCCAGCAAATCTGCTTGATTTGTTAAAACCTATGTAGCACCGATACCGGTACGCGGAAACGCGGAAACGGGTACGGGGATACGTCAAAACCAAAAAAAGTAGGATACGGATACGGGGCCATATTTATAAATATTAAAACTTATGGGGGTGTATTTACAAATATTAAAAGTTATAGGGGTCTATTTATAAATATTAAAAATAGATTTTTTTTGAAATATATATATATATAATATTTATAAATATTAAAAGTTATGAGGGTGTATTTACAAATATTAAAAGTTATAGGGGTCTATACACACACACACACACACATAATATCCTATGATGTCTACCCATTCATTGCATTGAATCATTTTCCTTTTTCAAGATACTTGGTAATAAATTCATAATATTTCTCATATACATTAGTCATCTCGAAATATAAATATAGTCAATAAGTCATTAATTTAAAATGAGAAATAAGTCAAACAACTACAATCTTGAAATTAAAAGTGCAAGTATCCAATTCAGAGTATGAGTTAATGACTTAATTCGGATATAGCCATATAGGCCCATTATTTGATTACCAAGTAAAATGTAGTTTTAGATTTTCATTTTTGTTTAGAATTTTATTAAGTAAATTTTGGGATTTTTTTTTTAAAAAGTTGATACGGGTATCCTTCAGGATACGGGGTATCGGAAACTTTCAAAAAATTACAAAAAAAAAATGGAAACTTTTAAAAATTGCAGATACGGCCCGGGAACGTACGGTACGGGTATCCTAGAGTATCGGATACGGGAACGTATCGGATACGCCGATACGCTACCCTAGCGAAGTATCCGTGCTTCATAGGTTAAAACCATTATCAAGGTCTCAAAATTGAGACGATCCTCTAAGAAAAACTTCAAATCTGCCGCCCCCTAGCCGACTTGAACCTCACAACAGGGGCTCTTGTCATCCCATCTCTGAGAAGAACACAACTAGCTCCCTCAGAAACATATATGGCTTTGCAGCCTCTGTACTTGCAGTCAAACAACTTTGAGCAACAACAACCCTGCAACACCCATCGGGATCTGCACATATCTCACTGCATTTCACAGCACAGCCAAAAATTGAACCGAAGTCGAACCCTTCCAGAGGCATACTGGAAAGGGACCTCCCTGTTAGAGATATATTTACCAATTTACTTAATCTCATTCCACATTTAATCAATTTGTAAAAAACTCAAGAAGAGTAATATTTAAACCATCATAAGAAGAAAAGTTAACTTTACAGTCCATTGGAATAAAGCAAAACTAAGCGAAATACTAAAATAGTCAAAACACTATAATCTAAACTGGAAAAAAGAAATTTAATTTTAATTAAATATAAAAGCACATTATAACACAAAATTAAGAATAAAAGAATGTTATCCATGATGGTCTGAGTATATTATATTCATGTTTCTAATATTCAACAAATATTGAGTGCAACCTTTTCACAAACACTTCATGTGCAAGAAAATAGAATAGAATGCTTAACTATAAAAACTATGAAATCAATAACCAACATCACAACCTGAAAATGAAAGCAAGTAGGTAAATAAACAACTTCACAAACATAAATTAAGCATACAAAATAGAATTAAAAGCTAAAGAAAATCCATTAATCATTGCACTTCACATAAAATATCTAAATCCCTAAATCATAATAGAGAAATACAAGAGATTTTTTACCATGAGATTTCTCCGGTGATACTCAGTTGTGCGGGCAACAAGGTTTGGCTCTATGAGGCGGAATGACCGTTACAGTAATTGCAAATTTCCAGAACGAAGCAACCTAACTGGCTATGATAATAAAGCAACGTAACCCGCGATGATGATAAAGCAACCTACCGGCGGTGATGATAAAGCAACCTATCAGCGGTGATGATAAAGCAATCTGGGCAGAAGAAAGAAAATAAAACGAATGAAAAGAAAACAAGGACCGGCGGTAAGGGAAAAGAGGGAGATTGAGATTATACGAAGGGGCAAGGGTCTAGACGAGAAGAGAGAAATAGTGGGAAGAGAAAGGGTAAAAGAAAATGGTAAAAATATCAGCCTTTTATAGTGTGTACAAGATGTGTGCATAAGTGTGTACAAAGAGCATTTCTGTAATTTTAAGTTCCCTTCAAAATAGAAATGCGGATAATCTTTGGCCGAAGTTGCAGTGAAGAGCGGCGATGGATTGCGGAATGATATCAGTTGACCGGTGGGGGAGCGGAAGTCAAGCGTACTTCCTCACCCACCTCCACGCCGACCACACCCAGGGCCTCTCTCCCTCTTGGCGGCGGGGCCCGCTCTTCTGCTCCCGCGTCTCCGCCAAGCTCTTCCCTTCCAAGTTCTCTGGCTTCGACCTTTCCCTCCTCCGCGTCGTTGATATCGGCACCTGGTACCCCCTCTCCCTCGTGTCCCCTTCATCCAGCTCCTTCTCCACTGTTAACTTCTTGGCCATCGACGCTTATCACTGCCCCGGTATGCGGTCAAATAGTCAATTATTGTTCATGCTTTAATTGCCATGCCATTTGCGTGGCCACAAAGTGCTCGACACTTTTCCTCAATCAACTGTGGCCACAAAGTGCTCGACACTTTGGCTCAATCAAGTCTGGCCACAAGGTGCTCGACGCTTCGGCTCAAGACCCGTGAAAAATAGGCAGTTAAGTTTGGGATATGGCCTAAAACCGTGCTTTGGATTTGATTTCAAAAAACAATATGTAAGTTTTTGTGTGTTTATATGATTGATTAAAAGGGTATAAAAGGGGGATTGGGAGCTCTGTTTGAAGCATCTTAGCGCTTCTGTCGAGCAGTGGAGAGATATCCTTAGTCATTTTGAGCCCGTTTAATTATGTTGTTAAGTTAAACTATGCAGATGCTTTTTTACATGACTGTGCAGATACCTTTTTTACCCAGCTATGTATAAGTTTAGGAATAAGGATACAATATTCGTGTTTTTTTTTAAATTGCATTAGGCAATATATTGTGCTGTAATTAGTAATGTTGTTGGTGCACAATGACATTGTCCTAAATCTGGGGATTCCTGATGAAGTTTTCTTATTTTCCCAACAATAGTTCTAGTATTTATCCAAGAGACTAGCCTAGTCTCTAAGACCATCGAAACTTCCCATGGCTCATGTTTCGCCTTTAGAAGCTAACTTGATTTAAAAAGGCACTTACAAGGCAGGTTTTGAGGCGCGCCTCAAGGTGAGGCGTATAGAGAAGGTACCAGGGCTGGTTTTTTTTTTTAGCAATTTAAGAGGCTTATGCCTCAAAAGTTGAGGTGTATGCCTTAAGGCGCTTTCTAAGGCGCGATTTCCTTTATTTCTATATTCTAATGGGTTGTAACTTAAGAAAAGCCCAATGTATTTTATTTAAAAGGAGGCTCATACATTAAACACGTGTCCATAGTTCACATTAAACCCCTAGCAAGTCTTGTTTCATTTAAATAATTCATTAATCGTTAAAATGTTTGCATGCTTCTTCTGTACAAAGAAGAATTCATTCTCCTGCACAAAGAAGTTGACAACTTCTTACACACACTCTATTCTTGCATGTAATTTCTCTTCTCCTCATCTACTTCTCTTCTTCTACATCTCTTCTCCTTTTTCATCTTCTCTCCTTCACTTCTTCTCCTTCTTGTACCGAGTTGTTGGTCATGTTTTCCTAAAACTAGTCAAGGTTTTACAAGAGACTCAACGATAGACACCTTAATTTAAGATCCCAAACCAATGATGAGGAAAATCTTTTGGATGATGATAAGTGCCTTGTGTTCATATATGTGTTCGTGTTTGATACTTTATGAACATATACCATCTTCATTTGTTTAGCTGTTTATTACTAGTTTAACTATTTTAAAAAAACTTTTAGTTTAACTATTTTTAGTTTTATTTGTTGGTATTTTTGAGGCTTACTCCTCAATACACCTTGACGCTTACACCTCACCTCTCCGGAACAAACCGCCTTGATACCCAAATTAGCCTTTTTAAACCTTGGAAACTAAGAAGCGGTGTCAGAAACTCAAAAACTTCAAATTCTCATTTCTTTGTTTAATTAAGAAGAACTAGGAAACCCGTTTTCCGCAATTAATTATAGTTTAGAAACTTTGGGTTTTCAATATTTTTATGATGGAAATTAATCTGTTTATAGATTTTTTGTGGGATTGTATCACAACAACATCATCTTTGTTGATTTTTCAAAGCGCAGTGCGTCATGAGAACAATATTGTATTTTACTATTTTACATTTACTTATGTATTAGTATGTCATAATTAGTATTGATCATGTATACTATTTATTAATTATTTAGCAAAGTCATACACAAAATTAAGTACATATATATACGGATAACATATGTATACCTATGCTTATGAATACCTATACATATGTTAGAAAGACATATTTTTGAAAATATCCTTATATTATCTTATATATTTACACATTCCCTTCACGTTTCCGTATTCTATAAATTTCAAAAATACCATTTCCTGCATTTTACGTTTCATGCTTGGGTACTATTATTGTAGCAGTAGTTGTTGTTATTATTAATTTATTATAATTGTTTGTTTGGTTCAGGAGCAGTCATGTATCTGTTTCGTGGTGAATTTGGATGTATGCTTTACACTGGTGATTTTCGTTGGGAAAAAACAAGTGATAGAGCACTTATAGGAAGGGAAATGCTACTTGATGCTCTGAAGGATGTAAAACTTGATTACCTATACTTAGATAATACCTATTGTAATCCAGCATATACCTTTCCTTCTCGTGAAGTGGCTGCTAAGCAGGTGCATCCTCTTTACTCATCCTGTAATTAATAACCACGTTTTTCTCATTTAGACTGATCAGCGGTCGAAATTGATTTGTTGTTGATCAGATAAAGATATATATCCAAACAAGCTGTTTTGTATTTTCTACGGATATTGGAAGATGATGATGCTCATCAGTAAACTTAAACTCCGTATAAAAGTCTTGTTCTACAATTTTTATTTTACCTTCACCTTCTGTCCGTATCTGTTAAACTTTACTATATCAAAAAACTTTCTATAGTAGCTATTGTGAGTAACTGTCCGAGGCTTAAGACGATAAATCATTTGTTTGCAATTACTAAAAAAGTTGAATCTTCAGTGCCGGGCCCCAGTGCCATATGATGACAAAAGAGGGGGAAAGGGTCAAATGGACCTTTCTACTATTTCAAATCCATGACCTAAAGCCCCATACAAAAAAGTATAATATGAGTATGCTTACTTTGAAAACACAATCACTCAAGCCATTTTGACCTAGGATTAGTTTTGAAAAAAATAAAGTAGGATAATTAATAAATCTTCCATAAATTCATATAGATTTGAAAAAGTAATGTAATAATAATATAAAAACTCGTATAAATGAAAAAAAGATGGGAAAATATTTTAAATACCCCAAACTTTAATGGGGTGTGTGATAAGTACCCCAAACTTGCATATGTAATATATATGACCCCGGACTTTATATAAAAAGTTATGTTCAGACCATTATTGTATGTTTTTTTACAAATACAAATTTATTGGAACAATTACATAATTTAAAATACTCTGAGCTTTGTTAGAATGTAGTTAACATTCTAAAATTTCATTGGTGAAATAAGTAATATTACATCCGGTTAATTTAGTTTTAATTGCATCCTCATAAATGTTTTGTGTATTTTAAGTTATGTACTTAACACCATAAATCACATTTGTGGAAAAAAATATGATCATGGTACTAATATAATTTTTTATATAAAGTTTGGGGTATATATATTATATATTACATATGCAAGTTTGGGGTGCTTATCTCACACTCCTTCAAAGTTTGAAGTCATTTAATTTATTTTCCCAAAAAAGATATATAATTAAAAACATTAAAAAAAATCAGGAAAATGGAAAAAGTGAATTATGTAAAAAATATAAAATTAAAATCTAAAACTTTTAAAAAGATGTAGAATATACAAGTAATCTCAAAGACGCCAAAATATAGAGTTTTTCATTCTTAAATTGTTCAGAGATTTTATTTAGATTTAGTTGAATTTTAACATTTTTTAGGGTTTTTAATATAAAAACGTGCTATTATAGGTCAAAAACCGATTAATTGGGTGGATTGAATGATTTTTGAAAGTAAGTGTACTTTAATGATGTTGTTTTTAGTATAAGTGTTTAAGTAATGGACTGGAAATGGTAGAATTGTCTATTTGTTGGTTTAGTTAATGACAAAATTCTTTTGAATGTTAACAGATGTTACATTTGGTCTCTTTCCCTTGAACTATATTCATTACATTCTGAGAATAATTTAGCTCTGAGCGTGTCAAATACTTGCACAAATTATTTCATACCTTCTCTGTGGCTGTAGGTGTTGAATATCATTGCCTCTTATCCAGAGCATGATATTGTTATTGCTATTGACTCTCTGGGGAAAGAAAACCTTTTGGTATACATATCTCGTGCACTTAAGGTAAAGGTATGTAGGTTTTCACTTTTCACTGATCAGATATACTTCTTTCCTTTTTATCCTCATGAAATTAAACTACCTCCTAACTTTTATATATTGCAACCTTATTATACAACAACATCCGAGCCTTATTCCCAAAAGAATTTGGGGTCGGTTAACATGAATCGATCCATGATATTAGAGCCAAAAAGGGAAGAAAAAAAGAGAGAAAAAAAGATAAGTAAGATAAAATAGATAAGATAAAGATAGATATAAGAAAAAAGAATAACATAAGAACAAAAGAAATATAAAAGCTAAAAAGATAAAAAACATAAGAAAATATAGGATAAAAATAACATAAGAACATAGAAAAACAAAGAAGATAAAAGATACTCCCTCCGTCCCATTTATATTGTCCCGTTTTACCTTTTCGTGAAGTCCCACTTAAATTGTCCCATACCATATTTGGCAAAGTTTGTGTGACTCTAAATCATTCTTACTTTATTCTTACAATTAATATCAACCACACGAACTCACTTTTCTTAATAACCGTGTCACCCTCTTCCGTCCCAATATAAATGGGACGGAGGTAGTACTCCGTAAAAGAAAGAGAGAGAGAGAGATTGTGACATTATTATATATGACAAATTTTGCTTATACAAGATGCTAAAATTATTATACTTCGTAATAAATTGCTCTAAATAGGAGTAAAAACAATGTGAAATTTATAAATATGAGTAATATGTTTTTCTCCTTAAATAAGAGTAATTACTATCATGCTCCGAAAAATGATGCCTGATAATACCAAAATATGGCAGTATGATACCTTGATTATAGGACGACAATAATTTACTCCTATTTAGGGAAAAATATAATACTAATATTTTGGAATTTCACAATGTTTTTACACTCCTATTTCGGGAAATATCCCATCTATTATTGGTACTTATTTTCTGTTATTCTAAAACATGCATACACAAGAAAAGAGTGTTTCTTTTAAAACCAAAATCTACTGAAGGATTAAATTCACATAAAAGATCTACAGTAAGAAAATATATAGTTTTGGAAAATATTTCAGACTTGTTATACTTCATGACTTCATACAGCACTGGGTACACCATACCTTTTAGGTTCTGTTTGGCATTAAAAGCTATCAGATTGATAGGAATAAGTAATGATTGGGCCTATTCATTAAATAATTAGTGGGCCTATTCAATAAAGAGTATAATAGAAAGGATAAAAAGTCTATTATTAGTTAATAGTTCCTTTTATCCCTGCGTGGATAAGGACTATAAATAGAAGGGGAGTCAGCTAAAATAGGCAGGCTGTTATTTGGTTTGGACTTGGACTTTGGAGACTGGGCATCTCGAATCGTCCATCACTGTATACCTATTTCGGTTCTTCGCTATTCAATAAACACGCTTCTACTTCTTTTCTGCTTCATTTCTCTGGATCTGTTATTGTTCTTGCTTGATTACTACCAGTGCCTTATCATTGGTATCATTGGTATCAGAGCCGTCTGATCCTGGAGATCGGATCTGTGATACGAAGGTAACAAAGTCTGTAGCAGTGGTGAATGGTACGAACCAGAGCGAAGATGGATATACGCGTGGATAACTTGGAGCGGAATCTGGCTGAGATGCGAGAGGAACAGGATCGGAAATTATTGGAGGTGCAGCAGGAACTCCGATCAGCGATGAATGATCAGCGGCTGGCGATGGAAAATCTGGCGGCATCCATGGCCGCGATGAATGAGCAGCTGCGGACCAGAGAGAGATCACGATCTCAACCTCGACATCATCTGCGATCTTCTCGCAGCCCAACTACTTCTGGAGGTAATCCGAACTTGTCGCATATCCAAAATCCCCCTGTTGGTAATCATGTGTTGTCGCCTATACCAAATCACAGAAGGCCAGATGATATGTATCGATTTCCAGTATATACGGGTAGAAAAATTGATTTGCCTGTGTTTGATGGAGAAGGTGCTTACAGTTGGATTGTAAGGATGGAAAGGTATTTTCGTCTGAACAATATTAATGAAGAAGAACAGGTGGAAGCTGCTGTAGTGGCTATGGAAGGCAGAGCTATCAACTGGTTTATATGGTGGGAACACCAGAATGAAAGGAGGACGTGGGAGAATCTGAAGACTTCTATCGTTCGCAGGTTTCAGCCAGACTTAATTCAGAATCCATATGGGCCGATGCTTAGCCTGAAACAGACTGGCACTGTAAGGGATTACAGGGATGAGTTCGAACTGGTGATAGCTCCCCAAATCAATGTTGACATGGAGATATTGAAGGGAATTTTCCTTAACGGCCTTAAGAATGAGATCAAAGCTGAACTCAAACTGCATAATTCCACTGCTTTGAATGACATCATGGATATGGCCCTTCTGGTTGAAACTAGAAACGAAGCTATCTATCTGAAGACTAATGGTGAAGATAAAGTAACTTGGAAGGAAAAGGGACCTAGTGCTACCAAACATCAGACTTGGGTGGATGGATTTAAAGCAAAAATAGGGAACTCGGGGTCCAACAATAATGGCAAAGGTGCAGCTGAAAGCATGGATTTCAATTCTTGGTTTGAGAAGATGGGAAAGAAGGTGACTGAAATAAACAATTCAGAAATCAGAAAGGTAGGTCCTCAGTTATCCCAGGAAGAGTTTCAGGAAAGGAGTAGGAAGGGACTGTGCTTTAAATGTGGGGAGAAGTGGAGCAAAGAGCACAATTGCAAACTGAAAAATTATAAGCTAATGATGGTTGAAGATTCAGATGGAGAGAAGGAGCATGATAAGGATTCTGAAAGTTCTGAGGAAGAAGTTACTATGGAGTCCAAATCAATGCAATTATCCTTCATGAACCAAGAAGGAACACCTTCTATGAGGGCTTTTAAGGTACAAGGGATTCTGAAATGGGTTAAGGGAGAGAAGATAGTAGATGTTCTGATTGACAGTGGAGCTTCACACAATTTCATATCTCAGAAATTGGTTGGGCAGATAAGTTTACCTTATCATACCACTTCTGGCTACAAAGTGCAGACTGGCAATGGAGATGTGGTATTCAATAATGGCAAATGTGAAAAATTAATTTTAAATATGCAAGGCACTGTTATTCAGCAAAAATTTTATATAATGGAGTTGGGAGGAGCTGACTTAGTTCTTGGCATGGAATGGCTAACCAGCTTGGGGGATGTGGAAGTTAACTTTCAGAAACAAAGTATAAAGTGGCAGCAATTTGGAACAAATCAGGTCATTCAAGAAGATCCACAGTTTAACTCGACTGAAGAATCACTGCAAACCATGGTACAGATCATACAGGATACTGGGGATGGATACCCTGTGTCCTGTGAAGGCAGAATTGAGGAAAGGAAGGAAGGACAACAGAAGGATCATATCAGGAAAGATATTTTGGCAGAATTTCCTTATGCCAGTTTTTTTTTCAGACCCCAAATAGCAGCAGGTTCTGCACCATTCATATCCTTGTGTGCACCTATCATTTGTGGATTACAAGGTTCTTATTGGAAAGCCTTCTTAAAGAATTCTGAAATGGAATCTGCCATTAGCATTGATCAGTTCTTGGATATTCATGTTGATCGTATCAGTACCAGGGAGACTAGATTTTCAAGGAGTGTAGCAGCTGAAATCAAAGAGCTAGGGTCATATCTTGAAGGACTACACAAGACTGCTAAATTCCAGATTCAGGACAACAAGGAGCTCTATGAAAACGCTGGGAATGCCTTAGAGAAATACTGGTCTGAGGAAGTGAGGATTAAAGGTCCAATGCTGCTGATAGGGATACAAAAATCCACACTGTATTGGGAAGGGAGAAGTGCAAGAAAGAAGTACAAGTGGGAGATCATGGCTGACTCCTATCACCCACCTTGAGGACAAGGTGGTTGTTTAGGGGGGGAGTATTGATAGGAATAAGTAATGATTGGGCCTATTCATTAAATAATTAGTGGGCCTATTCAATAAAGAGTATAATAGAAAGGATAAAAAGTCTATTATTAGTTAATAGTTCCTTTTATCCCTGCGTGGATAAGGACTATAAATAGAAGGGGAGTCAGCTAAAATAGGCAGGCTGTTATTTGGTTTGGACTTGGACTTTGGAGACTGGGCATCTCGAATCGTCCATCACTGTATACCTATTTCGGTTCTTCGCTATTCAATAAACACGCTTCTACTTCTTTTCTGCTTCATTTCTCTGGATCTGTTATTGTTCTTGCTTGATTACTACCAGTGCCTTATCATTGGTATCACAGATTTGTTCAAGAAAGCTTTTCAAATAAGCTTTGTTTGGTTTAGGAAACTTATTTGATAACTTTGAGCTAACTTAATAAGCTTCTTGGAGTAGCTTTTCAAAAAAGCTAAACAATTCGTTTTAGAATATTTATTGATCCCATTTGAAACACAGTTTTATGTCATTTTATATACTCCCTCCATATCAAAATAACTGTCCCCGTTTTCTTTTTGGGTTGAATCAAATTAATTGTCGCATTTCCCTTTTTGGAAAGAAATATATCCTAAAGGCAGCTACAATACACATTAATGAAGTCTAATTGAAAAGTCTACGGTAATTATCTTAAACTATGTGAAAAAGTAAATGTGACAGTTATTTTGACATGAAAGGAGTATTGAAGTTAGCTTATTAGTAATTTATACCACATGCCATATCTAAGATCAGCTAGCTTATCAAATACTCCGTATAAGCGATAAGTTACAACTTTCTTCTTATCAACAGTTGGCTGACTTATCAAGTACTACCTCCGTCCCCCTAAGTTTGGGGCAAGAGAAGGACACCCGCACGGGTAGCTCAGTTGGTCGAGTGGTGGGAAATTTGGAACAATGACCAAGGTTCGAATCTCCACAGCGGCCGAGTGGAGGTCACAGAACCTGAAATAAGGTTAGGCCTCTGGTGCGCACGGGTGCATGGGCCTACTGCCACTCTACTGACTGAGTCACCGTGACTTACATCCTCCCAAAAGTCTTGTCGGGTCGGGGCGTGGGGGGCGCTTGGGGTTGGCGATTCAACCTTTTGGAACAATGGGACAAGAGAAGGTGGCACGGTTATTAATAAAAGTGAGTTTATGTGGTTGGTATTGAATTGATAATGTAAGAATAAAGTAGGAATGATTTAGAACCACACAAACTTTACCAAATAAGGTATGTGACAATCTTAGTGGGACGAGCCGAAATGGTAAAATGGGACAATCATAGCGGAACAGAGGGAGTAGCTTATTAGCTTGTTTTGTCAAACGCCTCATATCTGCAAAAAAAATTAACTGCTGACTCCTGACTTATGTATGCTTACACACACACACACTAATACTTGTCAATTAAGCAATTCACATTTGTTATTTCTTCAAATTTGTTACAGATATGGGTGTGGCCGGAACGCCTGCAAACCATGCATCTCCTTGGTTTCCATGACATTTTCACAACCAAAACTTCTCTTACTAGAGTCCGTGCAGTCCCCCGTTACAGTTTTAGTATAGAGACTTTAGAAGGTCTGAATACGATACGCCCCACCATCGGAATTATGCCATCTGGACTTCCATGGGTATTGAAAACCAATAAGGGAAAGCCCAATCCTTTTGGTCCAGATAGGTACCATCAGTACATATATACTGTTCCATACTCTGACCATTCTTGTTATCCCGAAATACAAGACTTTGTGAAACTTTTAACTCCAATTAATATTGAAGGCATTGTTACTTCTGCCCCTTCTTACATTAACAACCCCTTGTACTACTTTGGACATCTTTGTGGGACAAAGCATACACCACAGGTGGTATCACACCAGCAGCTAGAAACCACAAGAAGTGGCAATTCCAAGTTAGAAAGGAAGAATGTGATTAAGAAGTTGCAGAAGAGGGGGGGTCGGGTGAGTCGGGCTAGCATACTGAGGAGAGTGCAGCGAGGGGTAAAGGTTCTTGATTCAGAAGCTAGTTTTGTTTAATTTGTGTCTATTATGTATGTGTGTGGACTGGAGTAATCTACAATAACAAAGGGTCTAGTAGTTTGATTTTCTATCATTATTACATGCACTGTTTTCTCGTACTCTGCGTTCGTTATAACCGATATACGGACAATAAGGATGTTTTTACTTGGACTGTAATTTGCTGGTCTGGTCTGGTGAGGTATGGTTTCTTTGTATTTTTATAACTATCCAAGTCTGGTCTGATCTAGTCTGGACTGGTCTGGTCTGGGGCAAATTATAGTCCAAGTAAAAACATCCTAAGTCATTTTGACTCACTCAAGATTGATACTTCAAAAAACTTGCACCGCATATTAATTGCACTAATTTGACTTTTACACTATTCACATACTCTTCTTGTCTCATTCTAAGGTTCACACTTCCTCCTTTTGGACATCCAATATAAGTGTTCTCATTTCTATTTTAGGAAATAATTACATTCTTAAATGACAATTTAATAATCAAATATTAAAAATAATGAATCTATAACATCACAAACATCATTAATTACCCCATTATATTATATATCTATCTATCAAAATCATTTCTCAAAACATATTTGAATAATCTTATTTAATTATTTTCTAAATAATCATGTCATTTTACCATCAGAATCTTTAATCAGGGACCGAAGGTAGTACTTAAACATACTCCATTCGTCCCTTATAAAAACTAGCACATAAATCAGGCGGACCAATAAATACAGATCGTGGTTGTGCTTTATATGAAAAATGCTAAAAGTTGGGCTGCCTAGATCATACGAAACCAACATCCTCATGCTAGAAGTGAGACTTAAACCCAAATGATTGTTCATTAACCTTGTAAAAGATATGTAATTGATAGATTCATCCACACCAAATTTTAAAGTTTTACCATTAACATAATGTATACTTTCATCTCAATCTCCATCGTAACAAAGTAACAATCAACAAGGATAATGAACGCCATTTGCTGGCAATAATAAAATGAACTTCTGGGTAGAAACAAATAACAACTTTTAAAAAAACATATAAGCACGCAATTGGTCGGGTAAAGTGGCCTGTGGGCATAATCAATTTTAACCCCAAATATGAACTTTGAATTTATATGAAGATCAATGTTAACCTAAAAAACTATCTTTATTAAAATACTATGCCTATATAAGTATGGTGTATACAAAAGTTTATGTAGTGCGATAACAAAGATGTGATGAACCTTTGTACTCCGTATAAAGTATAAACATGTGTGTGGCGCAACAAAGATGTAGACATGAAGATGATGAAGAAATTAGATTAAACAATCTTAAAAGTGCTTGTACACTCCGATTAAATGTCGATCAAGGTATTCGCAAATACATTGGCATTTTAAGAAATTAACATATAACCTACTTATAATTGTGTTTATATGTAAAAGTGTATATACATCACAATATTCATATTTTTTTGGCTAAAGGGTCAAATAGGTACATGAACTAACCTAAAGTGTTCAATTAGCCCCTTATATAGATGGTTCTATATTGCCGTCACCAATTGGGGCGGTTCCCGGTGGAATTTTTTGATGAAATTTTTTGAGCATCTTCTTCATTAAGTCTAGTTTACCCATACCAAATTTCAGCTAAAAATTCAACCGGGAAGTCAGTCAAATGAGTTTTTGAAGATAACTGCGCAGTTAAACAACGCAGTACATTTCGGAAAATCATTTGGCTGCCTTCCCGATTTTATTTTTAGCTGAAATTTGATACGGGTAAACTAAACTTAATGAAGAAGATGCTCAAAAATTTTCATCAAAAAATTCAACTGGGAACCGCCCCAATTGGCGACGACCGGGAAGAACCTCCTATATAAGGGGCTAATTGAACACTTTAAGTTAGTCCATGTACTTATTTGACCCTTTAGCCTATTTTTTTTATATAAAAAGTGGACCACAAAAAAAGTACCCCTTTGTCTCTTATGTTTCTTCTATAGTACAAATTACAACCAATTAAGATAGTGAATATTATGTGATGGAAAGTTTGTGGAGAGAAACGTGTACAAAATGTTATGAATCGTAGCAGCCATTAAACAAAATAAAGAAATTGAATGGGCTCCTCTCTCTTAATGAGATCCAATTGTGTGGTTCAAACTGAGAGAGACTAGCTTAACTTATCCAATCATTGACTGTGATTTCCAATTGTCCCTCTAGGTTGTGCTCTACCCATCTTTCTTCAACACGATCAGGTTGCAATCTTGCATACTAAAAAAGAACCTCCTGTAGAAATCCATGGCTTCTTCATCAGTTTCACCCATCACTGCTCAGGTAGTCTTCTATCCATCTCTCTCGCTAATTTCGTTCTAGAATTTTGATTTTTCTAAAGTTTATGCCCTTCAGATATGCTCGATCAAGAATGGTGCTTTCGCTACTCCCCAAGCAGTGATGGCGAAACCCGCGAAGAGCGCCAGCTTGAGGACAAAGGGGTTGAGAGTCACGGCCATGGCCACTAGTATTCCGGCAGACGATAGAGTGCCTGATATGGGTAAGAGGAAGCTCATGAACTTGCTTCTCTTGGGTGCCATTTCTCTCCCCACTGCTGCGTTGGTGGTACCTTACGCATCCTTCTTTGTACCTCCTGGGTGAGTTTTTTTTTTGTGCTGTGAGATTTAAAGATTGAAACTTGTAGGGGTTTATGGAATCAAATTGTGTACTTGGTAAGTCATACTTAAATAATGTGTGAACTCTTTTGTATTGTATTCATGAATTATGACAAGAGTTTCATTGTAAAAGATAATAAAGAATCATTCTTGTTTCACATTTTATAGTGTATGAGTAAATGTAATAATCTATAATACAACTGGCTCAAGAACTAGCTTGGTCATAGCATTTGGATTGTTTCTGCAAAGAAGAATGTATCCTAATACATATCAACTACCAAAGTAATACTGTAAACAATAAAAATAAATTAGTGTCATTGCGCTTGTACACCAACAACCCAAACACTGAGTAATAATAATAGTAAAGAGTATTAGTCTTGTATTCACAGTGAATACAATACATGTAATAGGGAAAGAAGAATGATTATCCTATTCATTTTAATATCATACAGTGAAGTTAGTATAATTGGGGATGCCATATGGTTGTTGATAGGAGGGGCATTTGGTTCACTGAGAAAGAGAGAGAGGGGGGGATTCCATTAATATAATAATATGTGATCAACACCCAGTGTAGAAGAGAATGCAAGAGAAGAGGGGGATTGAGCACATCATGCACATTTGGCTTTTCACTATGCGGCCACACTGTTTTTCTATTGTTCTGGTGTTGCAAGCATGAGCTTGCATTAGTTAGTATAATAATATGTGATCAACACCCAATGTAGAAGAGAATGTAAGAGAATAGGAGGCGTGAGTACATCATGCACATTGGGCTTTTATTATGCGGCCACACTGTTTTCCTATTGTTCTGGTGTTGCAAGCATGAGATATTGTTTCAGTTTTTAATGATAATCATAAACATATTTTACATCCACTGAGATCAGGTCAGGAGGTGGAAGTGGCGGCATCATTGCCAAGGATGCCATAGGGAATGACGTCATTGCTTCTGAGTGGCTAAAGTCCCATGGACCTGGGAATCGTACCCTCACTCAGGGATTGAAGGTAGTAGAGATGATTCTTGGTCAGTCAATTTTATTTATCCAGCTTTATTGAGATCTGTTTGTTTAATGAAGTTGGATTTGCCCTTGAAGTAAAAAACAAATGCATCACACGAGGCTCTGCAATAAAGTTAATCAAGACTTGCTAAAAAATCTCCTTCATTGTGTATTTCGTTTTAGATAGTATTTTTGTATGAATGATCACCTGATAAAATAGTTTATTTGTTTGAATTAAAAAACTATTAGAAATATCTTCGTGTTTTATTAACGTACATGGAATTCATATAAACCATAATTTCTGAAAACATAATAAAGAGCACATCTTTTTATTATTAGGAAATAAATCATGTTTAAAAATATAAACCATAATTTCTGAAAACATGATAAGTACATGAGATGTCACCAAACAAACCCTTAAGCATTGATGGCGTACCACCGCTCGTCACTTTGAGGAGAATAGTTTGATTAAATGTGATGATGGGCGGTGGAATGGATTAAATAGGGAGACCCAACATACCTAGTTGTGGAGAATGACGGGACACTAGCAACGTATGGCATCAATGCGGTTTGCACCCACCTGGGCTGTGTGGTTCCTTGGAATGCTGCCGAGAACAAATTCATGTGTCCTTGCCATGGCTCTCAATACGACAACCAAGGCAAAGTTGTTCGAGGGCCAGCTCCTTTGGTATGCCTCCCCCCAAATCCTCCTACACATTATCTGTATCATTTATCCCTTCATTCATTGTGTGAACCACCATCTCTTTTACTGCAACAGTCCTTGGCCTTAGCTCATGCAGACATTGATGATGATAAGGTAGTGTTCATTCCCTGGGTTGAGACTGATTTCAGAACGGGCGAAGCTCCATGGTGGGCATAGATGTTTTTTCTACAAATCAATTGGTGTCTTCTCATTACACTTGTAGCCAACCCATCCCTTCCAACATGCTACTAGCTTCACTTTACCCTGTAGTGGTAGTAGTACACTAGTACATATGATCATTGTATTTTTTTTTATGAGTGATGTCAAAGTAATATTATAACATAAAATGTCTTAAACAAGAGTGCAATTAATGTGAATTCGAAATTAGGAGTACTATATTTACACTTATTATTATTGTGCTTAGAAAATAGTCAAATACTGTCAATTTTGTCAATGATATTGTCTTATTTATCTCACGTAATGCCAAAATATGGTAATACTATTTCAAAATTACAATAATTTATTCCTGTCAGGGCCGGCTTTGGGGGCAGGAAGCCTAGACAAATGTCTAGGGCCTCCATATTTCACGGGCCTCCAAATTTAAACTTAGCCCATTAGTAATATGTATAATTAAACATCAATTTAATCCAACAAAGCTACAGAAGCTTGAAGCTCGAAGGTCAAAGCCTCAAAGGTCGAAGTTGAGAGACGGCCTAACAGGTCAACACTGTGCACTACCGACTTTAGTCTTTAGGTATTTTATTAACTTTACTGTAGTTGATTTAGTTGATTTGAAGAATTTTAGGACTACTTGTTTGTTACTTTGTTACACCGTATTTTATTGTTTATATTTTTAGTTTTTTCAAAATGTTAGTTGGTTGACTGGTTTGGGCAGTAGGGCTTAGGATTTAGAGTATATTATCATCCGTGGATCATAAGTATCTTAATATATTGAAATTGCAATTTCCTATTTCGATTGATTGGTATATTGAATACTATACTCTTTTATATGCAATAATGAATAGTGGAGTAAATATGTGTTTATGAATTATTAATTCAGCATGGAGTATTATTTTTAATAAATTGGTGGATTATGTTGATGGGAAAAATGAAAAATTGATTCCGGATGCACAAAGAGATAGAACAAATTAAGAAAGGATTTCGTTATAAAACCGTTTGCCAGTCTATTGGTCAGCTATCGGTACGTAATCATAAAATTTCTCTCTCAAATATTCTTAAGAGCGAGTGTACAAATGCCGTGTTTGAGAATGAGTGTGGGGGTGTATTTGTTTATCATTTTTTAATCTTTTTACCTTAGAAGAATATTTTCATTATGATAATAGCTTAGTAGTATATGATGCATTTCATATGTAATTTACATCTTTAAAAGGATTTTTTTTATTATGTTGAATTTGTTTAACCCAAAATGTCTATATGATTGTCTAGGGCCTCATATTTGCTCTAGACGGCCCTGATTCCTGTTTTAGGAAAATATATAGTGGTGCCAATTTCAACAATTTCAATCTCTATATGTGTGTGTAATATACATTAATTTTATAATTTCAGTGGTATCATTTGACACCACAAGCCAAAGAGGCAAAGACTGGCTTCGTCTGTGAGGTTGAATTGGCAATTTTTTGGTATCAAAGAAAAGGTGGTGATAGTTGTTAGGATTTAATTAATGCAACACGAATAACAGTAAGAAAAACACATGAAACTTGGCAACTCAGTTCGCCACAAAGGACTACGTCTGGGGTGTTACCAAACCAGGAATTGCTATTAATTTCGGATCAATGATTACGAGGTGAGAGCTTGTATTTATAGAGTAAAATCTAGCCCCAAAGCAATTAGGACGCGCGGCCCAAAACAGTACAGAAACTCGCGGCTCATCAAAAACGGATCCAAAAAATTTCGGAATGAGATTGGTTATATAGTCTCTAACACCTTACAATAGTGATTTGTGACTGAAAAGAAACCAAACTTGTAGTAGTGATTTGTGACAAAGAAAAGGTTGTGTTGATCCGACTAAGCAGATTTTTGTTTTATCACGTATTGCGAAAATTGATAGAATGAGAATGATGGGAAAGAACTTGCTTTGATCAATTAATTACAATAAGGGTATAAAGAGGGAAATACATAATTAAATACTACTCTGTATCCTATAATACAATAATGATACTTCCTCCGTCCCTTAAATCTTAGCCAACTTTTCTTTTCTAGATGTCCCTTTTCACTTTCTTTTTTAAATAAAGAATTTATAATTCAAATTAATTCTCTTTCCTCTGCAGAAACCTCAACTACACAGTTTTTACTTTATTAATGTGTCAGTCAAACTTAACAAAGTTTTATAAGACTGAGAGAGTATTATTCTAGTACCCTCAAGTTGGTGCATACTGCATGAAAAAGGGAATCACCCAGGGGTGGAGACAGGGAGGGGTTGGAGGTGGCCACGGCCCCTGCAAGAAAAAAATTCTTAAGTATATATTATGTATAAATACTTTTAATTTGTAGAAAGTATGTTGATATTTTACACTTTGACCCCTGCAATGTAAAATTGTTAAGAACCGGCCCCTTTAACCCTAAATGTCTGGCTCCGCCATTGGAATCACCAACATGCATGGAAAGAATCATGCCAACCTCTTGCTTGCCTTCAACCTTTGTTCAAACGCCAACCAAATCGTTGCTTGATTAAAGCATTTCTAAAGATATCAGCCACTTCAGAGTAGAATTTAGAAATATGGACTGCTTCTATTGATTTCTAGAGCAACTACTTCTAGGTAAAATGACAACCATCCTATTGATTAAAGCTTTTTTTAATATAATATGATGAGAAATTGTCCTAAATAGGAGTAAGCAATGTTTTGGAATTTCAAAATAGAACTGTTATATTTTCCCCTGAAATAAGAGTCATTACTGTCATGATTGAAACATACAACCATGATTGAAAAGTATTATATTAATGATATTAAATAGTGACATGTTTACGATAAAAAAAATAGTGACATGCTTAACGCCTAGTTCTCCAATTATTTGGCAGAAATGATTACATGATGACAGTAAATACTGCCATGTTACTACTATTTTGGGAAGAAAAACATAGCAGTCACATTTTGGAATTCTAAAACTCATTTACTCCCATTTAGGGAATTTTTCTAATATTTTTTTATTTGTTCTTTAAAAATACGATTAGAGCTATACGTGGTATAGACAATATTGCAAAAAAAATGTTTAAAGATATGATTAGAGCGATTGATAAACCTACCAGTTAGCAAGAAGTTCACCATCCGATCCGCCTCCGACCGAGAGATGGATGAATCGATGAAGCCAATTTGATTCCTAATGTGAAGCGCACGACGACTACTGTGAGACGATTCCTCATAATTCAACTCACCCTTAACCTGAATGTGAGAAATCAATAGACTGATGAGAGAATCGTTGACCGTCACGTCATATGACGAAAGAGATTTGCATTGGACATGAATGTCATCGGTTTGGGTAGAGGAGGGATTGCCGCCGGCCATGATAGCAAAGACAATGGATGATCAACTCGAAACCGCGCGTAAATCTGATAACATGATAAACCCTACCTACAGTAGGCGAAGTTTTTGTAATAATGTTGTACCTTGATTAAGGTAGCCTAATGAATTTATATACACATGTAATTAGGGTTACAAAGTAATAGAAAGGATACAATAGTAATTTATACAACCCTAAACTAATAAATACGTAAATAGTATGCTAATATCGCTAATATAAGCAATTTATATAAGATGTTTCACGACTCTTACCGTACCCCATCTTTGGATAGTTTGCACTTTTCACTGAGTTAACAAATAAACGTATCTATATGACCTCCTTGTTAATTTTTAAGTAGTATCAATAATATAATGTTTAATATTTTAGTAATTGCCCTAAATAGGACTAAACATTAATTTTCTACTCTAAATACCCCTAAGAGTATTAATTCATAGTAAAATGTTTTAATTCATAATAACATTATAATAAAATAATAAAAATCGCAGAGAAAAAAAAATTATGAGGAAGCGGTCCAGCCCAGCTGGTCGCCGACTAACTCTCCATTATGGGAGGTCTCAAGTTCGAAACTCAATGAAGTGAGTTTAAGCTCTGATTACTTCAGGGCCCCCAACCCCCCTCCCCCAGACCCCTTGGAGTAAAAAAAATTATAGAATATTTATAAAATAAATATTTTAAAAAAATTGATTTTTTTTAATAAAAATAGTAAAAACCCATAAAATAAAATAAAATATGGATGTCTTTCCCACCGCCTCCCATTATCACCACCTCTGATAAGTGAAAAATGCCATTTTAATAGAAAATGCCATTTTTTCTGAAATTTCCAAGAAAATAGCATTTTTACTCTTTGATAATTCTAAATTTTCATTGAAACTGCCATCAATATGTCATTACTAATGCATGTTAGCATTTTTCCGTTAGCATTTAGCATTTAAAATTATATGTCATTACGTTTTTATTTGTTTTTTAAATTTTAATGTTTTGTTCATAATGTTTTTCTTCTTATTTTTTTTAATTAATATTTTTTATTTTCCTATTTTTTATTTTTATTAGTTTTATTAAATATTTATTTTAGTCCAAAAAAACTACATGGTATATTCGTCCAAACATACATTTTTTTGGCAAACATGCATAACTAGTCCTACTAGGGAATTTAAAAACAATGTAATCCTATTTGTGATTTTAGTTACCTTTTACGTCTAATTAGGTAATTCTCTCTTAATATTTACTTGGGATGACAATTGTCACCGATCCGATGGAGACCCGTACCGAACCGCCCCGGTTAAAATGGGAAAGCCGCATTGACTGGGTAATGGGTACGTGTTGGGGAATACTGTTTTGTTTTTACGGGGAAGGTGGTGGTTACGGTTTTATACATACCCGCCTCATTTATTTTTTTATACTTTTATTACATTTTTATCTATAGTTTTTAATGTCCCACAACTATTAAAAGATGAGATTTTAATTTTCTCTTTTCATTGTGTGTGTATGGATAATAGATGTACTAAACTATACTATATGAGTGAAAGTTGATAATAAATTTTAATAGTCTTGTTTGATTATTATGAGATTGTTTTCATGATTAATTAATTATTTAGATTAATTAAAATAATTAATTATTATAAGTATTTTTAGATTTAAAATAATTTACGTTGTTTTCTTTCTCATCTTATAGATATACGAATCTTTAAAGTGACGTTTTAAGTCTAAAGTTATCTAGGTGATGTCATTTTTTCTCTTTTTAAAATATTATTTTTATAATAAAATATCATTGACTCAATTAATAAAGCGATTACCCGCGGTTATACCCGTTGGGCGATAATGGGGCGGTTATGGAGCGGGGAAGTTACCTAACGAGGCGGATACAGTTATATGTAAAACCGTTTCCGATCCGCCCGTTGCCAATCCTTAATATTTACGTACGTAATTCAGAGTATGAAAT